TGGTGCAGCAGAAACTCAAGCTCCCCATCGATAATTTAGATTTGGTTTGCGGAGATGGTTTCTTTAACAAAAGCAAACACGGTCAACTGCTACCCAATTCATTTAGGGCGGTGTTTTGCGGACCTAGCGGTTGCGGCAAAACCAACACCATGTTAGCGCTACTCTTTAACCCCAACGGGGCAAGTTTCGAAAATGTTTACGTCTACTCAAAGTCGTTGTATCAACCAAAATATCAACTGTTATCTCGCGTATTGAGCAATGTCAAAGGAGTTGGATATTATCCCTACAGTGAAAGAGACTCGATAATCGACCCCAGCGACGCGAAAGAGAATTCTCTGTTTATTTTCGACGACGTGGCGTGCGACAAGCAAGATAAAATTCGCGAGTATTTTTCGATGTGCCGACACAAGGCCATCGACGCTATTTATCTCTGTCAGACATACTCCAAGGTACCCAAGCAATTGATACGTGACAATTGCAATATTGTCGCGTTGTTTAAACAGGATGACATGAATTTACGTCACGTTTATGATGAACATGTCTCACCCGACGTTTCATACGACAAGTTTAAACAAATTTGTTCCGAGTGCTGGAAAGAAAAGTACGGCTGTTTGATAATTGTCAAAGATTTCGACGTAAAAAACGGACGCTACCGCAAGGGTTTCGACAAATATATAAAAGTCGATATTTAATTGTCGATAGAAACAGTCATGAAGGCGACGTCCGCCGACATCGCCGACGCGGCGCTAAAAAAAAAAGTAAACGAGTTGTCTAGATCTATTCGAAAGAAGTATTTAACATTAAAATTGGGTAAGAGCGAAGAGGATGCGTCAATTCGGAAGCTTTTCAAACCCGTCAGCGAGCCGCTAGAACGTATAGCAAAAATAAAGCTATCACCGTCACCGGCAGAAATAAAAACTGAACGTCGAGGTGTCAAGCGGGAACACAAAAAGGAACCGAACGAAGAAACAAAAAATAAGGTTAACGTATCATTTTTGCCTATGGAAGAAATTCAGGAAACGCCGGATTCCAATAAGAGCGTTGAGATGCAAAATATCGATGAGGAGGAAGATGATGTGTTTGACACATCGAGCGTGGCCAACGCATCCCTTCAATCATACCTGGAACAATATCCAGAAATTTCCCATTCATATATTCAAAATTTATGGGTAAAATCGCCCGACACCGATATTGTTTACGGACCCGTTTACGACAAAATATCATCCAAATGGTTTCTCGGCAATAAATCGCTGGATTTTCATCAAGGATCTGGCGATATTATTGTAGACGGCGAGAGATATTCCGGTACCCGCGGCTTGTATAATTTGGTGTTTTTGAAAGATCCCATAGCATACACAAAAGACGATTTGGCACAATATAAAAAAATAATGGAGGCTACCCAGGTGCACAGGGACGCGATCGGACGTTTGAAAGGCGCATCGACTGTACCAAAATATACCAAGGTCATCCGACCCTTAATAAAATCTCAGTCGCGTTCGTACTCGTACAGCGGTCAAGGTTATAATATGCGTTATAATGACGCTCCTACTGAATATGTATACTGGGACGACGTCAATGAACTCGTAGAGCGTCTGAAATTACTAATCGCGTCGAAACACGCAGGCAACACGTCTCATGATAACGAAATAGTTTCAATCGTTGAAGAGCTAAAAGAATCAGGTTTTATACGTTAGTTTAACGATGAGTCTGGACAAGTTTGGACGTTCTAGCGCGCTGCGACGACCCTTCACTAATACTGTGATTAGAAGCGCCCTCGATTATATGCCAGACGGAAACGTCAATATGAACAATTTAAAAATTTGCAATGTCCAAACGCCTAGCGACGACGGTGACGTGGCTAACAAAAAATATGTGGATGAGACAAGTAATTTATTAAAAATTGCATTGAGAAAGATTATTGGACAGAAACTCGAAGCGTACACGAAAAGATTGCAAATTGAAGACAAAACTAAGTTCTCGCGTCTTGAAGAACAACTGAAAATGAGTAGCACTACACTCGAAAATGAAATTATGCAGTTTCGCGAAGTTTTCCACCAAAAGCTAAGCGAAATGAGCGCAAAGAAAGATTTGGAAAAGCACATGACAAAAGTCGCCGTTTTGTCACAGCAATTTCATGATATTGTAACCAAAATGGAGCGACTTACGAACGAAAATGAGAATATAATGAAGGTATTGAAACAAAGGGTTTTAAATCCTCCATCGCAACCGAACACACATTATGAATAAAGAGAAGGTACAACTGGTTCGAGAACTGCACAAGCCGGCACGCAGAAATTATGCTCGCCGCCGGACTATAATACGAGGGATGGACGACCTGTGGCAAGCGGATCTGGCCCAATTAGATCGCTACAGCAAACAAAACAGAAATTTTAAATTCGTGCTGGTTGTGATAGACTGTTTCTCAAAATATGTATGGTGTCGCCCGTTGAAAACCAAAACCGGGGTCGAAGTCGCCAAGGCGTTTTCCAAAATTCTCAAGGACGGACGGCACCCTCAAAACTTGCAAACGGATCTCGGTAAAGAATTTTACAACGACACGTTTCTGAAACTTGTGGATAAGCATAAAATTAACCACTATAGTACGTATAACATAAAAAAGGCCTCAATTGTCGAACGGGTGATACGTACCCTCAAAGAGAAATTGTTTCGACATTTTTCTTTACGCGGGACGTACAAATGGATCGATGTGCTCGCCTCTATCGTTGATGAATACAATAACACAAAACATAGAACGACGGGTACGAAACCCATCGATGTGAGTAAGAGCAATGAAAAGAGAATTTTGAAAACCGCGTATAGTAGCATAAAAATATTCGGTCCTCGTAAACTTAAAGTCGGCGACATCGTTAGAATCAGCAAAGTCAAGCACGTTTTCAACAAAGGTTATACACCGAATTGGACCACGGAATTGTTTAAAATTGTTAAAGTACGGGTTACTAACCCCGTAACGTATTTGCTTCAAGATATGCAGGGTAAACCCATAATGGGCGGATTTTATGAAGAAGAATTGCAGAAGACAGTTAACCCGGACTTATATCTCGTCGAAAAGGTGTTGCGCAGACGAGGCAATATGGTTCTCGTGCGCTGGTTGGGATTGGATAAGTCGCACGATTCGTGGGTAGACAACGTAGACGTTTTGAAATAAATTTAGTCTCGATTTAGAAGTTCTGACATAAATACGTGTATATGATGGCTCAAGAGAAAATTGTGACATCCAACGAATTGTATAATTTATTGGAAAATTTCGAGTTGCAATTTCCTTCATCAGAAGTGCTCCCGTCCAGCTTCGTTCCTGTAGAGCAACAAACCAAAAAATCTGCGACCAAACGAAAACAAAGTGCGTCGGTCGTATCCCGCAAGAAGAAGAAGAAAACTACCACAAGTGAAGCGTTTGCAGCTCCAACGTCATCCGCTGATTGGCTCGAAGTGTTCACGGACGGTAGAGAAAAAAGTGTCATTTGTGAGGCATTCAATTTAAAAAGAAACTTGGCGTCTCAGTTGTCGGGATTAGAGTGCAATATCAACGAAATTGAAACACAAATTGCGCTTTTTAATACAGACTTGCAAGTGGCGCGGATGCAAGCTCAAGAGTGCACAATTTAATAATTTAGCATTTAACGAAATTGTAAAATAGTAATAATGTATATAATAAATAAATTATACAATTACAAACTTCTGTGTAATTATTATGCGGTGTTGTGGTGGTGGTAAAAAAGAAAATAGCGTCTAAATATATACATGTTTATTCTTGTTGCAATACAATGGAATACAATCAATACATAAAAGTCTTATCTACAGTTACATATGTTATAATAAAACCACAGTATTAATAGTTCAATGGACTATCAGAAAAGCGTAACTTTTTTCCATATTTCCTCTCATCGTGAAGCATTAAATTACATTCATCTTCAGTTTCTACAGTGAACAAAACTTCTTCAAAGCAGCTTTGACACCAAAATTGTTTATCGTGATATACATCATTCAAATTATTTATATCCAGCTGTAAATGATAGTGATCCAATAAAAGTCTAAAATTTTTCTTTTTAAATTTTTTAACTACTTGAAATATAAAGTGACAAGATTTACAAACTAAAATTTCCGAATATTTTATCCTGTAATAACTGACCCATAAACAGTAAGCGGATTCTCCGTCAAAATCAATGGTTGGAGTTGCCAAAATGCTATTTCTGTAAGACGATCCAAATCTCTTATTCAACAGAATGAATTCTAAATTTAATAAAGAATTGCCATCAGACTGGAGCGCTAATTGTTTAAGGTACTTCCATCTATATTTCGAATAATATTTAAATATTAGTATCGTTAGTTTCCAAGGCAAAGGTGACTCAAGCAAAAAATCAGCACTACACCTAATATTTTCGCAAATTGTTATAATACAAAGGCTTTCTAATGTAAGTTGTTTGACCATAATCTGTAACAAAAATATATTAAAAAATAATTACGGCACTTTATAATGTCCCCACGGAAGCGTTTCATATGAATTCGGCAAAAGATAACGTTTATCGTCTAAAGGACTCAAGGCAACTTTTGTTTGTTCGATGCTAAATACATTGTGAGTGTATGAACGAATGGTTCGTTGAGTGGCGTACTTTTCCCTAAAATTTGTTAAGCATTCTACGTAGTCATCAAATGAAATTTTATTTTTTACAATATTGTACTGAATACCCTTTGACTTTTTAACTACCGAACCCGTTAAAATTTTGAAAGTATACATTTTCGACCTTAACCCCGCATAATTGCGCTTTTTAATACAGACTTGCAAGTGGCGCGGATGCAAGCTCAAGAGTGCAAAAGAAAACTAGAACAATTTAATAATTTAGCATTTAACGAAATTGTAAAATAGTAATAATGTATATAATAAATAAATTATACAATTACAAACTTCTGTGTAATTATTATGCGGTGTTGTGGTGGTGGTAAAAAAGAAAATAGCGTCTAAATATATACATGTTTATTCTTGTTGCAATACAATGGAATACAATCAATACATAAAAGTCTTATCTACAGTTACATATGTTATAATAAAACCACAGTATTAATAGTTCAATGGACTATCAGAAAAGCGTAACTTTTTTCCATATTTCCTCTCATCGTGAAGCATTAAATTACATTCATCTTCAGTTTCTACAGTGAACAAAACTTCTTCAAAGCAGCTTTGACACCAAAATTGTTTATCGTGATATACATCATTCAAATTATTTATATCCAGCTGTAAATGATAGTGATCCAATAAAAGTCTAAAATTTTTCTTTTTAAATTTTTTAACTAGTTGAAATATAAAGTGACAAGATTTACAAACTAAAATTTCCGAATATTTTATCCTGTAATAACTGACCCATAAACAGTAAGCGGATTCTCCGTCAAAATCAATGGTTGGAGTTGCCAAAATGCTATTTCTGTAAGACGATCCAAATCTCTTATTCAACAGAATGAATTCTAAATTTAATAAAGAATTGCCATCAGACTGGAGCGCTAATTGTTTAAGGTACTTCCATCTATATTTCGAATAATATTTAAATATTAGTATCGTTAGTTTCCAAGGCAAAGGTGACTCAAGCAAAAAATCAGCACTACACCTAATATTTTCGCAAATTGTTATAATACAAAGGCTTTCTAATGTAAGTTGTTTGACCATAATCTGTAACAAAAATATATTAAAAAATAATTACGGCACTTTATAATGTCCCCACGGAAGCGTTTCATATGAATTCGGCAAAAGATAACGTTTATCGTCTAAAGGACTCAAGGCAACTTTTGTTTGTTCGATGCTAAATACATTGTGAGTGTATGAACGAATGGTTCGTTGAGTGGCGTACTTTTCCCTAAAATTTGTTAAGCATTCTACGTAGTCATCAAATGAAATTTTATTTTTTACAATATTGTACTGAATACCCTTTGACTTTTTAACTACCGAACCCGTTAAAATTTTGAAAGTATACATTTTCGACCTTAACCCCGCATAATGACTAATGATGGTGCCATTAGTCTCATCCTTCATCAACCCCAAAACCTTTTTGTTGATTTGCGGTATATTATAGGGATTGTCATTAGGATAATCAGACGTGTCAAATTTTGTTAAATCGGCCTTAATAACGCTTTCATATGCGTCATAACATTTGATATTATAAATGAAACTGTCCGTATCCATGTATTGAATTTTACATTTTTCGGGACCCAAATTTGGAAGCATGTAATTATAATGAAACTCGTACATGGTCGTTTTCGACAAATCCAATATGGACATTCCAATATAAAGTGGCTTATTAAAGCAAAGTTCCGATTTTTTTAATTCTATAAGCAACAAATTGTTATCAAGTATGGTTCTACTGTGAAATCTAGGACTAGAAATTAAATTTTTCGCACCGTAGCGACCATCCCACGCTTTAACAAATTTAACAATACGATGCTTGCGAATGTTTTCCATTGTTTTACCGTAAGCGGCATTATTAAACAATTTGTATAAATTTATACCAAATTTTGTCTTTGCTTGGGTTCTTAATTTATTATTATGATCGATATAACATTTCAACCAACGAGATTGGTTAAATTTTAATATTTTGTGAATTTTCTTTAGTACGAGACCGTTTTTGAGAGCCTGTTTTAAATTGCGATAGTGTATGACGTATTTTTCTTTATTATACAAAGTAGTCATTAGTTTTGGTAACTTTGAATTGGGGGGCACTCGATGTTCGGCACAAAATGGAAAATCTCTATGTGTGTCATGTAATTTCTGCGGGTATTCCAGGTCTACCTCTAGGATATATCCTTGGGAAGATTCATCTGGAATGTTCATGACATTAAATGAATCAATCTCTTGATGAGACATCCAGTCGAATCCTCCGTAAGGAAGAGGCTCGCACATGGCCTTGCCATAGAGGTTATTGACGTCAAAGTACATGATATAGGAATCATCCCTGGATGAATCGTAGTTGGGCATATATTTATTGTTGGCCTCCGCATATCTACCAACACACACCGAAATTCCACCTCGTATAGCCCGCTCGATAATCATAATTTGGTCAATGTCGCACAACGAAGGATGATCCGTTACCCATTTCAAATTTATTAATGTTAATCTCTAAATAAATAATATTATTTAAAGCCCACCCGGAATCACGTTCCTGAAACTCTGACATTTGATTTAAAATTTTATCTTGCACATTTTCAACAAACCAATCATTCAATTCTGTTCCTAAATCAACTACAGCATTTCCGGTACTCAGATATTTAACATCAACTTCGCCTTGGACATCATTTTTTGCCTTAATAAATTCACCGCAAAATGTGGTATTTACTTTCAGCAATAAAAATTTCTTTAAAATTTGACTAATTTTTTGTTGAAATATTGGACGAGAATCGTTTAAAAATTGAATTAAATCTTTATGAAGTAAATTAATTATGACACCAGTCTGAACTCTTCCCTGGAAACACGACGCTACCGATTCCCATACAACCATTTCATTTGTGTTTGTCTCGCGGCTACTACTTTGTAATCCCAATCCAAAATGCTTATGTTGATAATTAAGAATAATTTTTCTAATAGCTTTCAGATGTTGAATTGTAGTTTGTAATTTTCTTTTTAACCCAATAGATAAATCCTTTTCGTTAGAAACGATTTGGTTGCAAGATTCAATATTTTTATTTAGTCTCCTAAGCCACACATCACTATCTCTAAGAGTGAACTTGTCGGAAATATGCTTTTTTAATTTTTGTAAGGTTAAAATTAAGATTTGCGCTCTATGAATGATCTGCTTTACGCGCATCGTGGTTTATTAAATATATAACAGTAAATAAGACTTACCCTGTATAATATGTTGATTAATTTTGAATTATTTTGAATTTCTTTAAAGAGTTGGGCTTTCCAATATCTTTGGATCCCTCGTAGACCAGTTTGTACTGCCCCGACGCAAAGTGTTCTAGTCTCGGACGGAAAGCTTCTGTCACGCGAGTAGGAAGAAATACTACGGAATTTTCTAATTGCAGCAACACGGAATTGCCAAATTTTGTATTAACAATTTTGGCTCTAGTAATTTTAAACGGAACGCCTATCGGCAATTCATGCAGTTTGACAATCGGCTGCTCAAAATCACCTTCTGCAAGACAGGTTTGATTCAGTTGACTTAAGTCCATCTATAAATTATTATTAATTATTTTATCTCAAAATTAAAAAAATAAAAAAAACTTACGCTTAAGATTGCTGCTATTCTATTTGCGGTTACGGGTTGAGAGTACTAAGATGATCTTTAGGACCTTTATAAAATAATAACAAATGTTAAAGAATTAAAATAAGACAATAAAAAAGGTACTTACTGCTTTTTTGTACGAACACCAAACCACTAAGTTAGCTTCCACGTTGCACGAATAATACCAAAAACAACTACTGACAAAACAGAGAAAAATGAGATGTATTTATACGGTGCGAGAATACTTTCTAAAAGTTAACAAACGAAGACACCTCCACATGCGTTGCAACAAATTTTTCCCATTACGTTAATCCCACGGAGCAAATATAAAGGGGGCAATTAATTATTATTCTCAACAAGCAAAACAACTCGACATTTAGACTCGGCGCGTTATGAAATTCCACATCCCATACGGAGATTGTAAAAAATGAAAGCAAGTTGGCCTTGATCTTTTGCGGCAACATACGTTCGTCCAACGTCCGAAGCGGTTGCGTTCCCGTGTGAAAGCGTGTTGACCTTGAGACTCCTACCTGCACGGTTGTCTGGCGACAACATCGCGTCTATTCAAATCGGCGTTGGTGCTTGTGGGTAGAAGACCTTTCGACTTTTAATTCAACCATGGAAGGGAGTGCATGTGTATAAATACGTTGCATGTGTATTATAGACTATATTCAGTGCAATGAATACAGAAGTGCGATGTCCATTTCCCTACGACCCTACAACTGGTAAGTTTTATATTTTAATTACCTTTATACAGTGCGCGTCTTTTCTTGTGGGTTTCAGTTTGGGTTATCACTTTTTTGGTTAGTTTCTACCTGTTTTTAAAATATGATACTCATCTTTTTTACGTTGCATAATAACCGATTTAAATTGAGTGTTTTTAATATCTTTTAAATGACAGTGAATGGAAAAGGGAATTTTGGCTTTTAAAAAATAAACAATTTTTAAATTTGTTTCAAAAATGTTTTATTTTTTGTACTAAAAAATTGCAGTTTGCCTTTTTGACAATAATAATCGAATTAAATTGAGCGTTTTTAATATCTTTTAAATGACAGTGAATAGGGAATTTTGGCTTTTAAAAAATAAACAATTTTTAAAATTACTGAAAGTTTTGTTTCAAAAATGTGCGTTTTATGGGGAAAACGCGAAATATATACATATTTTTGTTTATTTTTTGTACTAAAAAATTGCAGTTTGCCCTTTTGACAGTGAATTGAAACGTGAATTTTGGTATGCGCGTATAACTTAAAAAACAATTTTTAAAATTATTTGATAACCCCCCTTTTTGGAAGTTTTGTTTAAAAAAAAAAAATGTGTGTTTTATAGGAAACGCTACATATCATACTTTGTTTTGTTCTAGAAAAAATCGCGGTTTGTCCGTATGACAAGTCGCATATTATGTTGGCGCATCGCTTAGGGCGTCACATATTCAAATCACACAAAGAGTACCGGGGGTTAGAATTCCCGGTACGACATGAAACGACAAGGGAACATCACCAGCAGCAGGAGCAACCCGGTGGATCAAAAGAAACAAAGGAGCAGCAGGAGTACCCGGGTGGGTGGTCGACGGAGTGGGACGGCGAGGAGTGCACTTCGTATTTAGATTTCCTCCGGGAACGGGAAGAAGAACAACGCAAGGAACAGGAACAATGGGATGGTCGACTGAATCGACATAAAAAGAAGAAGAAACTCCTCGCCAGACCAATTTTATAAATAAAATAAAATAAAATGTATTAAAATTCAAGTTTATTTAATTATCCTCCCGATCCACCGCGTCACCGCGCCGCACCGTCACCGCCCTCTACCGGGGGGGCCTACGACGGTCGGAGCGCGCGACATCTAGCAGCGACGGGCGGAACCGGGGCAAAACAGGACGCTACACAAGCGCGCGACATCTAGCAGCGACGGGCGGAACCGGGGCAAAACAGGACGCTACACAAGCTGGGTGGGGGGCGGAGCGCACTCTGGTAGACAGGGGGGACACTAGGACGCCACGCGCGGGGGGCCCCCGCTGCGGGGGGGTTAGGAAATTGAGGTTATGTACGGTTTCTGTTGCTTATATCGGCACTATACATCTACTAATCTGTTTAAAATGACAAAGAAAAACCTATTATCAATTCAAGGAAGTGAATTTTTAAGTATTTATCTGCAGTTTTAATGTAGATTTCAGTTCGCTAAGTTATGAAAATGCATGTTTTGGCTATAATCTTCCGTAAATCAAGGGCGAAAACCAATTATTTGTCCCAAAAGAAGGTGTTTTAAGTATATATCTGCATTTCTAAGGTAGATTTGGGTACAATAAGAGGCCAAAAAGCAGATTCTGGCTAAGATTTTATCGAAATCGGCCACTATTTGACTCAGAAAGGTTGCCTTACGTCGAAATCTAATAGTTTAATAAGGTTTTCGTTACTAAAATGCCCAAAGACGCCGATTTTGACTAGAATTTGAAAGATATTGACATGAATATATAACTGTTTGTATCAAAAAATGATAGTTTAAACTGATATTTGCAGTTTTGATGCGGTTTTAGATACGATATGAATCGAAGAAGCCGATTTTGACTGGAATCTGTTTAAAATGACAAAGAAAAACCTATTATCAATTCAAGGAAGTGAATTTTTAAGTAGTTATCTGCAGTTTTAATGTAGATTTCAGTTCGCTAAGTTATGAAAATGCATGTTTTGGCTATAATCTTCCGTAAATCAAGGGCGAAAACCAATTATTTGTCCCAAAAGAAGGTGTTTTAAGTATATATCTGCATTTCTAAGGTAGATTTGGGTACAATAAGAGGCAAAAAGCAGATTCTGACTAAGATTTTATCGAAATCGGCAACTATTTGACTCAGAAAGGTTGCCTTACGTCGAAATCTAATAGTTTATTAAGGTTTTCGTTACTAAAATGCCCAAAGACGCCGATTTTGACTAGAATTTGAAAGATATTGAGATGAATATATAACTGTTTGTATCAAAAAATGATAGTTTAAACTGATATTTGTAGTTTTGATGCGGTTTTAGATACGATATGAATCGAAGAAGCCGATTTTGACTGGAATCTGTTTAAAATGACAAAGAAGAACCTATTATCAATTCAAGGAAGTGAATTTTTAAGTAGTTATCTGCAGTTTTAATGTAGATTTCAGTTCGCTAAGTTATGAAAATGCATGTTTTGGCTATAATCTTCCGTAAATCAAGGGCGAAAACCAATTATTTGTCCCAAAAGAAGGTGTTTTAAGTATATATCTGCATTTCTAAGGTAGATTTGGGTACAATAAGAGTCGAAAAAGCAGATTCTGACTAAGATTTTATCGAAATCGGCAACTATTTGACTCAGAAAGGTTGCCTTACGTCGAAATCTAATAGTTTATTAAGGTTTTCGTTACTAAAATGCCCAAAGACGCCGATTTTGACTAGAATTTGAAAGATATTGACATGAATATATAACTGTTTGTATCAAAAAATGATAGTTTAAACTGATATTTGCAGTTTTGATGCGGTTTTAGATACGATATGAATCGAAGAAGCCGATTTTGACTGGAATCTGTTTAAAATGACAAAGAAAAAGCTATTATCAATTCAAGGAAGTGAATTTTTAAGTAGTTATCTGAAGTTTTAATGTAGATTTCAGTTCGCTAAGTTATGAAAATGCATGTTTTGGCTATAATCTTCCGTGAATCAAGGGCGAAAACCAATTATTTGTCCCAAAAGAAGGTGTTTTAAGTATACATCTGCATTTCTAAGGTAGATTTGGGTACAATAAGAGGCGAAAAAGCAGATTCTCGGCAACTATTTGACTTAGAAAGGTTGCCTTACGTCGAAATCTAATAGTTTATTAAGGTTTTCGTTACTAAAATGCCCAAAGACGCCGATTTTGACTAGAATTTGAAAGATATTGAGATGAATATATAACTGTTTGTATCAAAAAATGATAGTTTAAACTGATATTTGCAGTTTTGATGCGGTTTTAGATACGATATGAATCGAAGAAGCCGATTTTGACTGGAATCTGTTTAAAATGACAAAGAAAAACCTATTATCAATTCAAGGAAGTGAATTTTTAAGTATTTATCTGCAGTTTTAATGTAGATTTCAGTTCGCTAAGTTATGAAAATGCATGTTTTGGCTATAATCTTCCGTAAATCAAGGGCGAAAACCAATTATTTGTCCCAAAAGAAGGTGTTTTAAGTATATATCTGCATTTCTAAGGTAGATTTGGGTACAATAAGAGTCGAAAAAGCAGATTCTGACTAAGATTTTATCGAAATCGGCAACTATTTGACTCAGAAAGGTTGCCTTACGTCGAAATCTAATAGTTTATTAAGGTTTTCGTTACTAAAATGCCCAAAGACGCCGATTTTGACTAGAATTTGAAAGATATTGACATGAATATATAACTGTTTGTATCAAAAAATGATAGTTTAAACTGATATTTGCAGTTTTGATGCGGTTTTAGATACGATATGAATCGAAGAAGCCGATTTTGACTGGAATCTGTTTAAAATGACAAAGAAAAAGCTATTATCAATTTAAGGAAGTGAATTTTTAAGTAGTTATCTGAAGTTTTAATGTAGATTTCAGTTCGCTAAGTTATGAAAATGCATGTTTTGGCTATAATCTTCCGTGAATCAAGGGCGAAAACCAATTATTTGTCCCAAAAGAAGGTGTTTTAAGTATACATCTGCATTTCTAAGGTAGATTTGGGTACAATAAGAGGCGAAAAAGCAGATTTTCGGCAACTATTTGACTTAGAAAGGTTGCCTTACGTCGAAATCTAATAGTTTATTAAGGTTTTCGTTACTAAAATGCCCAAAGACGCCGATTT